CTCAAAGCCCATCCAGTGCCACCCCTGCCATGGGCAGGGACACCTTCCACCAGCCCAGGGTGCTCCAAGCCCCGTCCAACCTGGCCTGGGACACTTCCAGGGATCCAGGGGCAGCCACAGCTTCTCTGCCCAACCTGTGCCAGGGCCTGCCCACCCTCCCAGCCAGCAATTCCTTCCCAATCTCCCATCCATCCCTGCCCTCTGGCAGTGGGAAGCCATTCCCTGTGTCCTGTCCCTCCATCCCTTATCCCAGGCCCCTCTGACCTCTCTGTATTTCTACAAATGCATGAAAAGGAATCTCCCCATGAGCTGGATCTCTGTTCCATTTCTCTGGAAAAAGAAAAAACTGATAAGTGAAGTCTCACCAGACCCACCCCAGGGAAACAGGAGCACAGGAATCCCAGCTGTTCCAGCCCTGGGATGAGCTGGAGACCCAGCAGAGCACAACCAGCACCCTCTTCCTTTAGCATTTTATTTGTGGTTGGGAACAGCCATGCAATTCCAGTCAGTACAGCAGGAAGCTCCTCCACAGTCACAACAGACCAAACACAAACCAAGCAGTGCTTTGATGAGCAAAGTTACCTCTATACCAAACATTTCACAACCTTGCCTGGGTGCAGCTCTTCCTGTTTCTCCCACATCCTGAACAACGCCCCTTCCTCACTCCAGTGGTTGCAGTGCAAGGGACAAATCCAGCTTTCTGCCCAGGAATGGCAGTTCACAGGAGGGACCTGAACCCCTCCCCTCCCCGAGGATCAAACCCCACGTGCCACAGTAAAGCCACCACACAGAATAAAAAAAGGGGAAAACTCAGCCTTTGGAACTGGAGCTGCTGCTGCTCCCACACAGCCCAGAGCACAGACACAGCAGGGCCCTGCCAGGACACACCACCACAACAGGAATATATCCTTCCCACTGCATTAAACGACTCCTCTGGAAAATTCAGCTCTGGCCACTTCATTTCTGTTTTGGCTTTTCTGGCTTTCCTCCTGATTTGCTACCTGCATGAAGGTCACAATTCTGGCAGATACACCAACAATCATGGAATGGTTTGGGTTGGGGCAGCCACAGCTTCTCTGGGCAGCCTGTGCCAGGGTCTCCCTGCCCTCACAGCCAGGAATCCCTTCCCAATCTCCCATCCCACCCTGCCCTCTGGCACTGGGAAGCCATTCCCTGTGTCCTGTCCCTCCATCCCTTGTCCCCAGTCCCTCTCCAGCTCTCCTGGAGCCCCTTTAGGCCCTGCAAGGGGCTCTCAGGTCTCCCTGGATCCTTCCCCTCTCCAGGTGAGCCCCCCCAGCTGTCCCAGCCTGTCCCAGAGCAGAGGGATCCAGCCCTGGGATGGACTCAGTGGCCTCCTCTGGACTCTCTCCAGCAGCTCCACATCCTTTTCCTGCTCCCAGAGCAGCAGTCCCTGTCTGGGGCTGTTCTGTGAAGCCCCCCGGGCTCTGCTGGGTGTTGTGGCCACAAAAGCGGATCCCTTGGATGAAGGAGTTTCCCTGGGAAGCAGCGGAGCAGTTTCACAGCCGGAGCCCTCCCTGTGACTCGTCCTGTCCTTCCCAGACCAGAGAACACAACCAAGAAATTCCAGATCTGAAAACACAGCTTGGCTTCCACCACTGCTTTTCCAAGAGGAGTGTAAGGAAAGCTGGGAGTTGAGGGAAGAGGCTGGGAGAGGAAACCTGAGAGGTGGATCCATCAGAGAGAAGCTCAGGAGCAGGAGGGAGGAGGGAAGGTGAGCAGGAACAAGCCCCTCGTCCCCTGCCTACTCCCCCCCGCGCTCCAGAGGCTCCGGAGCCACGAGGGAGGACGTGCAATCTCCCTTCTCCCCGGGCAGTCCCAGATTTTGGCTCTCCCGTTTCCAGGAGGTTCTCCCATCGGCTGCCAGGCTCACGGCCCCGCTGGCCACGAGCTGCAGGGCCACGGGGAGGGCTCGGCTCTCGGCCTCCCTCCGCCGCTCCCACAGCGTCTGCTCCGGCTCCTCGGCCCGCACCGCGATGGGCTCCTGGTGGATCACGGCTCTGGGGCCGGGCTCCTCCTGCAACGGGACAGGGGGGCAGAGAAAACGTCAGGAGGGATCGGGGTGGTCGTGGGCAGGAGGCTCCGAGCGCACCTGAACAGGGGACACCTGCCCGAGGGACACCTGCGTGGCCTCAGGGGGACAGCAGGGAGAGACGTGGGCTGGCAGACTCTGGGCAGTGCTGAGAGTGGGAGAAACTGCAAAAACCACCCCAAAATACAAAGGAAGAAACTCCAAGTACACCATAACCCACATCTTTCAGTGGTACCCACGCCGAGGTTTCCAGCCGTTCCTGTCAGCTCTGCCTGCAGCAGAAAGGGAAAAAGCCAAATCCTTTCCCAAAGACACTCACCAGGACAAAATGCACAGTGCACCCTGTGACCTTGAATCCACTCTGGGGGGGCTCCTGAGGGGCATTTCCATCCTTGATGAGTGGAAAAAGTGATGGAGAAGCATTCAAAATTTTCCCTGGACATCAGAGGGGAGAAAAAAGAAGAAAAAAAAAAAAAAGAGAAAAAAATTATAATTTGAATTGAATTTTCTTAAAAAATATAAGCGAGATGAGATCAGCACTGAGCCATCTCTGTCCTGGTCTGAGGGAATTCTGCTCTTCCAGGGGAAATCAGTCCCTCTCCCATTTTTTCTGAGGGGGAACTGCAGGGAGTGAGTTCAGAAGGACCCCCCAGCACAGCTCCTTGGCAAAGGAGGGGATCAAAACTCTTCCCAGGGGAGGCAGCAGAGCCACTCCGTGCCCTGACTGCCCCTCTGTCACTCCTGCTGCAGCACAAGGGGGTTCTGTGCCAATCCACAGCCACATTCCCACTGCCAGCAGCAATGGAAGCACAGGGAATGCCCTCAGTGCCGGCAAGGCCGAGGGATTAACCAAAGGACAGAACTCTGGCAGGGCAGTCCTGGGGAGAACTCCCATCCCTGGCTTAGTTTCTCTTCTACACTTACACTTTCTTACCTCTCCATTTCCGGAGGAAAGGGCTGGACAAAATCCTCCTAAACCCTGACAGGCAGATCAGCTCCACAGAGAACTCCTGCAGCACTCGGTCGATGGTGCTGTCGAACTCTGAGCGGCTCCCGTATAACTTGTGGTCAATCACCTGCAACAGCAAAACCATGGGGGGAGGGACTGGTGGGATTGAGAGAACAACCTGGGCAGCCAAGAGAAACAAACTGGATTCATTCCAGGACACTCCAGGATTTAAAAGGAGCTTGCAGTGAGGTCGGGGCCGGACTCTTTCTCGTCCCAAGGGAAAGGAGGAGAGGAAATGGCCTCAAAGTGCCCCAGGGCAGGTTCAGAGCAGAGAGCAGAAACAATTTGTCCCTGCAGGAGTGGTCAGGCCTTGCAATGAGTGTCCCAGGGAGGTGGTGGAGTCCCTGTGTGTGGGAGTGTCCCAGAGGTATCTGGACCTTGGGGACGTGGATCAGGGCTGATCCTGGTGGTGCTGGGTGAGGGTGGCACTGGATGATCCTGGAGGGTTCTCCCAACCTTGGTGATTCTGGGATTATTCAGCACAACATGAGACACAGGTTTTCATCCTGGAGAAGGCTCTGGGGAGACCTCAGAGCCCCTTCCAGTGTCTGAAGGGGCTCTAAGAGAGCTGGAGAGGCACTTTGGTGGATTTTGGGCAAGGGCCTGGAGGGACAGGACAAGGGGAATGGCTTCAAACTGCCAGAGGGCAGGGAGAGATGGGATATTGGGAAGGAATTGCTGGCTGGGAGGGTGGGCAGGCCCTGGCACAGGTTGGGCAGAGAAGCTGTGGCTGCCCCTGGATCCCTGGAAGTGTCCCAGGCCAGGTTGGACGGGGCTTGGAGCACCCTGGGCTGGTGGAAGGTGTCCCTGCCCATGGCAGGGGTGGCAAAGGAAAAAGGAAAAAGGAAAAAGGAAAAAGGAAAACGGAAAAAGGAAAAAGGAAAAAGGAAAAAGGAAAAAGGAAAAAGGAAAAAGGAAAAAGGAAAAAGGAAAAAGTGTGGGGTGTCTTTACCCTGGTGGGAATTCCAGCCCGGGCTGCATTCCGGAGTTCCTCCACACCAGACTTGCTGGAGATGACAAGCACCACCTGGGCACAGCTGCCTGGCTCCCTGGTGTAAGCGATGAGCGCAGGGAGGGCCGTGCCTCAGACACACAGAGCAAACAGGGGGGACACACGTGAGCCCCCAGGCACTGGGATGAGCTCCCAGCCCGCTCACCCAACAGAAATGTGGCTCTCACAACTGTCCAAACAGCACAAAGGAGCTGCAGCACTGACACAGCTCATTGGAGCAGCACAACACACACCCTGCACTCCAGTCAAAGTGCAGCCCTGGCTCTACAAGGTCTGGAGGCTCTACCAAAGGCAAGCCAAGGTGGGTGCACCTGGGTCAGGGCTGAGCAGGGCTCAGGGCCCAGTCCCAGCTCTCCTGTGTCAGGAAGATGGGAGCTCACCTGTTCCAGAGACGAGAACTGCGACTTTCACCTTTTCCTTCCTGGGCTGGTGCTGAGTGTGCTCAGTGGTGTCCCCCAGCAGGCCCTGGGGGCTGCCCAGCTGCAGGGCCTGCACCAGGTTCTCCACCTGGATGTGGGAGCCTCCTCCAAACACAGGAGCAAAGAGTTAGGCTTGACTTTGCCGTCTGAATTGACCCTGTTGAACACAACCTTAAATATGGTTTATTAACAATAAGTTTCAAGGACAAGAAGGTGTATCAGCAGTGAATTTCTGCTGGCACTGGTGGAACTACAAAGGCTTTCACTGCTTGAGCAGCCCAGCTCACAGGGGTTGTGCTGATCCCTTTTGTGTGACTCATTCCCAGAGCTGTTCAAGGGCCTGGGCACGGCCTGGCCCTCTCAAGGCTTGGCCCCATCTGTTATTCCCATCTTCCTCTTCCTCTCATGTTGCACTAAAACCCATGCTGGTGGAGCTGAGGTCACATTTTGGCTGCCCAAATGGTTTCCAGAGGGATTTTGGCTCACACCATGCTGGATGTCAGTCAGTGGACACACCAGAATTCAGTCTCCAGACCTGCTGTCACACAGACCACACACAGCTCATCAGACACACAGATCCTCAACCTCTACATGGACCTGTGTGGGCTGGGAAGGAGGTGACTTGATTACCAGGACTGTGGCAAAATATCAACTCATATTTGAGGGGTTTACTGGAGCCTCCAGAAGGTACCTGGGTAAGAGGTTACCCAGGTACTGTCACTGAAGCAACATTCACTCCTCACTATTTGATAAGGAAATGTGGATGTGGAGGTGTCAAAGAGCCTCCAGCCTGGTGAAACAACGGGAAGGAGATGTGAACCACATAACTTTTGTAACAGGGAGTCTCAGGGCCTCCAGAGCTGCAGACACCTGATGCCTCCCAGGGCAATTCGCTCAGCACTTCCCAGAACCACCCTCAAAACAACTCACCTTGTACCCACGCTGAAACCAAATAACACCTCCCAAAGTGCCAACCCCTCTGAAGTGAGAACAAACCATGCTCTGGGTCATCTCTGGGGCTTCACTTGCCACGAGGCCCCTGCTAACCTGTGTGACAAGGGGCAACCACCTTCCCTGCTCACCTGTGTGACAGGGGGCAACCACCTTCCCTGCTCACCTGTGTGACAAGGGGCAACCACCTTCCCGATGAGCCAGGCCTCCTCACGCCGCCGGAGGGCCCCCAGCACGTGCTGGGCCAGGTCCTGCTGCACCACCAGCACCGCCCCCAGCCCGCAGGGAAAGCTCTGGGCCATCTCCTCTGCAGAGAGGTTCCCCTCCTTGTAAAGCCAGCAGAAGATTTCAGGGATCTTCCAGCTGAGAGCGTCTGAAAATGAGTGAAATTTGTGTGTCAGCAGCACAAATATCTGCCATGAGCTATTATTTATTGTCTGCCAGGATAGGGAGAGACTCGTTCTTGCTGTAACAGAATCCCTGAGGCTGGAAAAGCCCTCCCAGCCCATGGATCCCCCTGTGCCCCATCCCCACCTTGTCCCCCAGCCCAGAGCACTGAGTGCCACGGCCAGGCCTGCCTTGGACACCTGCAGGGCTGGGCACTCCAAACCTCCCTGGGCAGCCCCTGCCAAGGCCTCACCACCCTTTCCAGGGAAAAATTCTTCCTGATGTCCCACCTGAATGGTTTGGGTTGAAAGGGACCCCAAAGTCCATCCAGTGCCACCCCTGCCATGGGCAGGGACACCTTCCACTGGCCCAGGCTGCTCCAAGCCCCGTCCAACCTGGCCTTGAAAATTCTCATTTCATTTTAGAGAAATCCAGTCAGACATACAGACACCTTCCCTCCCCCTGCCCATCCCCACAGTATTTCTGGGCTCACATGAACATGGTTTTCTTTACTATTTTGAACTTTTGAATACTTTGCCCAATTTTGGCTTCAACAGAAGAAGTTCTGCCTTACTTAGAGATGTCAGAGGCTGTTGTGGGAGGTGCTGCCTCCCCAAACCTGCACCGAAGGTGTGTGAGCACAAGTACCCTGGAGAAAGTGGTGCAAAAGCTTTCAGTGTGGAGTGTCCTGTGGAGCACCATCTTCCCCAACACCCCTTGGTCCTACAGATGGGCTGCCTCCAAACTCCTCAGGAATTTTCCCTCTCCAGCAAGAGCGATGCTCACGAGCTGATGCCACTTGAAATAGGAATGGATTTGGTGGGACCTTTGGAAGGGCACTGACTTGGGGTCATCCCACCCACAGCTCTTCAGACAGAGCTGTTTCTGAGTGTCTGTAGGACTGAAGCTGAGGACCCAGGCTCATGTTGTGCCACACAGGCACCCTGAGCTCTGCCACGTACCCAGAACAGCGCTGACGTGCTCCGGCAGGATCCTGGAGATGGCTCCCAGCAGCCCCTCCTCAGCGATGGGGGCAAAGGCCTTCACGTGGCCCGAGCGCAGCAGGGGCAGCAGGGCTGGGCTGTACAGCCTGGCTGGGCTCAGCAGAGCCTCTCCTGCAGACAACAGTGCCAGCTCAGTGCCTGGGTCTCAAAGGTCTGCAGCTGGGTGGAATCAGTCATGGAACGCTTTGGTTGGGAGGGATCTCAAAGCCCACCCAGTGCCACCCGTTCCACCAGCCCAGGCTGCTCCAAGCCCCGTCCAACCTGGCCTTGGACACTTCCAGGGATCCAGGGGCAGCCACAGCTTCTCTGCCCAACCTGTGCCAGGGCCTGCCCACCCTCCCAGCCAGCAATTCCTTCCCAATCTCCCATCTATCCCTGCCCTCTGGCAGTGGGAAGCCATTCCCCCTCATCCTGTCACTCTCTGGCCAAATAAATAGTCCCTCTCCCTCCTTTTTATAATCCCCTTTAGGCTCTGGAAGGGGCTCTAAGATCTCCCCAGAGCCTTCTCTTCTCCAGGCTGAACTCAGTCCATTTATCTGAAGGCTCACAAGGTGTTTTTTGGAAGTGCTCCCCTGCCCAGGTTCTCTCCCAGTCCTTGTGGCAGACAAAGTTGGGCAGCAGGAAGAAGTGCTGGCCCACTCCCAAAACAGACACAACCCCCGTGCCAGCCCCAAGGACCGATCAGCCCCTGCTGTGAACCCCCCCTGGCCGTGGGACACCCCCGTACCCAGCGTGGTGTCCCCGCAGCCGCCGGGGGCGGGGGCCGAGCAGCGCAGGGAGGACACGAGGAGAACCTTCCGGACTGCGCCGAAGCCACGGCCGTGGATGCCAGGGGAGGCCACTCCAAGGAGCACATCCTCCTCCTCTGCTCTCTGCAGCCCCAGGGCCACCTGCCCTCGCTCCACCGCGCCCACCACGAAGCCGGCCAGGTCCGAGTCCCCCGCGGAAAACGAGCCCGGCAGCTCAGACACCTCCAGGCCTGCGGGGAGAGGCATCAGCACTGCCTGCAGGGAGGGGGGTTCATCTCCCACTCAGAGAACCACCGAGGCTTTGGGCTGGCAGGGACCTCAAAGCCACCCAGTGCCACCCCTGCCATGGGCAGGGACACCTTCCACCAGCCCAGGGTGCTCCAAGCCCCGTCCAACCTGGCCTGGGACACTTCCAGGGATCCAGGGGCAGCCACAGCTTCTCTGGGAATTCCATTCCAGTCCCTCACCACCCTCAC